TTCGAATCTAAAAAAAAGTTGAATAATTTGACCAATTTTCGCTAATTTTGGAAAGGCATTTCTAAATTTGATCCAAATTTTCAAGTGAAAATGGATATCGCTACTGACTCACGATGGTGTCCACAAGACAGAGCGCTTAACCGTTACGTCATAGAACACACACACACACACACACATATATATATATATATATACATACATATAAATACATGCAAATGCATACATACATTCATGCATATATCATACAGTTTGGGGCTTATTATATCTGATGAGATGACTCTTCATTGAGAGTTATATCCGTCCAGAGTTATCACTCATTTAAGTGTGTTCATCTCAACTATCTTATGGACCATTAAACAAATACAGATGTTTCCTTGTGTCATCTCATTGCTACACGAAAGTTGGGATTAGAAGACGCAATCGCTTTGTCGTCCCACTTTTGAGGTTCCAGGCATGCCACTTTTGTATAACTTTGTTTGAATTAGTATAAAAGGATCGTAGTTTTCAAACAACAACTATTTTATAAAAAGCAAAGGTTGTTTAAATTTCCTAGATGCTAGATGCAGCAAGATCTTCAAAATATATAAGAATTATGAAACGAATCCAAAGGCCAACATGGACTCCGGGGCTGAAATTTTACTCAATGCGTTCGCAACAGATTGCACAAGAGCACAAACATTTTAATAGTTTATTTAAAATACAGTTTTATTTTTCATTTGAGCACTATTGCATTTATGCACATTGCCATTTTATGCTCCATACATTATATATAACTGTGTGTGTATTTATCTAAAACTGTGTGAAAATTGATTTTGATGCGTACATGCATCAATTAAAATTTGTATTTTTAAAGGTCGATTATAAAAATATTTATAAAAAATAAACTTGCTGTTTTATTGTATAATTATTACTTCTTACTGATCTTAGTGAATTGCATATATATCACATTAAATATTGTATTAATATAAGTCGTTTCCATTGGCATTAGTGTAATGTATAAATAATTTGATGTTTCAATTTTTATTGTATTTCCCTCCTTATATTTAAAATGAATTATATCCTACTGGATATGATAAGCCAACTCTATTTTACTACAAAAATAAAATTGCCATAAATGCGCAATATCACTATATTAACGTTAAAAGCACTTATAATAAGAAGACATGATTAAAGTAGGTGTAAGTGCATTTTGCCTTAAGGCAAGTTTCAAAAACTTCCCAATATGTATACATAATAGTACGAATTAGAATGTACAACTGCAAACATCGTAGCAAAAATTTGCCACAGACCATAAATCCAACCTTTGAAAAAGATTACAAAGTACATCATCATACATAGTTTCATCAAAATTGTAACGAACTAATGGTTCATGGCATCGTGCTTTAAGGCAAATTGCTGAAACTTCCGCTAATATATAGTCATCGAGAAAGGTGAAAATGCACTTTTAACTACATTTTATATTAAATTGCCCATAAAGCATGCAAAATTGAAACTTTAATAATTGAAAAATTTAAAATAGAATAAGTTCTATAAAACATTGGAGACTTTCATAACCTTACATACTTTATGAACTCATATCGTCTTTATCTATTACAATATTGCATTTTTCTATTGCGACACAGATTTTTCGAATTTAGTATTTTACTAAAAAATTTCTTGAAAAACTAGCTTCAGCAAATTGCTGACAGTGGGCGTCCATTAATCACGTGAGATTTTTAGGGAGAGGGGGGGTTTGACAAAAAATCACGAAATATCACGTGTTGGAGGGAGGGGTATAGTAAGATACCACCCACGTGTATTTATGTTTTAACTATTTTTTTTAAAAAAGTTCAAACATTTTCAAACAAAATCAAAAATTGTACAGTTTTTCACGTAACTAAAAATGCACGTAATTATTGATGGGCAAGGGGGGGGGTGTAATTTTGAATATCACCATGGATCACCAAGGGGGAGAGAAGGTCCAAAAATCCTTAAAAACTCGCTCACGTGAATAATGAACGCCCTCTATAACATAATTTGTTTACTGTTCTCCAGCATGATTTTGTGTAATGATCTAAACATTAAATATAACAGTTGGACATATTTATCTCTTAGTTATTCCGTTCCGAAAAATAAAGTGATTTGAAATGAACGAACTCAATATATTTATATATCTATGCATTTATATGAAAATATGAAATTATTTTGATATTGCAAATGATTTTTTTTATTAAATAATAAATTTTAAATGAACTTTTAAATAAAATAAACTACCGAAACGGACCACAAGTAAAATATTTAGTGGAGAACTGAAGACGTTGGAAAAAATACAAACCCTCTGACCATTGCCAGTGATTTGTCGAAGGTGATATTATAAATTAGGGTAATAATAATAGGAAACCATTATTTATTCAACTTATCTCTTGTAAAATTGTTTTTTTAACTTTATTTAATATTTTTAGTGTCTAAACTTTTGCTAGGGTAAAGGTTCAGTTGCTCCTTCTTACTCCACCCACATGTAAACGTTTATAGAGATTATATAAAAGAAACTATCGAATCTAACTTCAAAATAATGATATATCTTATGAAACAGTAAAATAACGTAGACTTAAAAATTATATTAAGATCCCGTATACTAAACAACGGTGCAACAACGAAAAAAAAGTCTTTATTTCCCGATAGCGACTTCGTAAGAATCAAGTTAATAGCTGGTTATACATCATTTTCCCTCTACTTTCAAATATTGTTGTTGAAAAATCTTAACATTACTGGTATTCGAGATATCGGTAGTGGATCATTATATCAGCGGACCTTTAAACCCCGCTCTACCATATCGTTTAAACAGAAATTACGTATCATTATTTTTTTTGAAAATTTTCGTGAGGTATTTCATCAGTAAGTTTTCAATCATCAGCAATCTACGAGAAGTAAAATATAAAAGTAGAATTAGGGTAGACAGTATCTGTTATAACATTACATTTCATAACCTTATAATCACTTTTTAATCGCTCATTTGACGTCTTTGTGTAATTTTATTATGTATTCTACCGATCACAACAGAACAACAGAAATATTATAAGCAATAAAGCCCAGAAATAAGCATCTTTTGAATTCAAACTCCAAAATAAGGACACTTCATGTATTACTCTGCATTATGAGACTTTACATAACGTGCAAAGAAGATATTTTGCGTTATGATCATCAACAGAATACGGGTGTACATAAATCCGGCATAGATATATACAGAAAATATTGATTTCTCAAAAGTCCCGTCTTGATGTTTCCATCCAAGTCCCAATGGAATTTAATAAAAAAAATGCAGGGCAAAAGGCGTCCCTACCTTTATCTCATAATGCGTACGGATTCTCGGGAAAGCTTCAAATAACACAATCGTAAAGATTTTTTTAGTTCAAATATCATTTACAATCATGACGATATGTCAAGATTTAGATGAAAAAAATATATATATAAATCTAGTAACGCATGTCATCTTGCCTTAAGGCAAATTGCTGGAACTTTCCGTATCAAATTTATTTTTTAAAAAAAAGGTTCAATTTGTTTCAGAACTTTGAAAAAAAAATCAATTTTTGGGATTTTTAAAATTTTTGAGAAAATGACGTTTTAGAAAAATTTTATTTTTTCTATACTTTTAAATATTTTGAAAATTTTGAGCTTTTTTCGCAATTGCAATCGCAATACATTAACTGCGTATAGTAGTATACCGAAATAACATTAGTACGGGACCCATGAAAATGTAAACAAAATTTGTTCTCATTATTAAAATATGTGATAATTTGATGTGCATATGCCTAATGATCAATTTTGTCCCCCAAATTTTCTTTTTTTTTTTGATTTACGAAACCACTAGACCTGCTTATCCAAACTACTTCATCAGTTCTTCATTTCGTCAATACAAATAAAATGTACGAATGGCTGAACCTGACTTTGCCGAAAATTAATCAGCATGTCTCCTTATCAATAGAAATCGAATGTTTGTTGAATTGGTTGATTCGTGTTCTCGTAATCGTCGATGAAAAATTGTATCCGCACATACATACACACACACATACATAAATTTTTTCTAAAGTATGCCAAAATGGTTAGAAACCTGAAACGTAAAGATATATAAAATCCTCAATTTAGTTTTTTGCGATTACTATAAGTTACCCTATGGGAAGTTAATAAAATTGCACATGAAATTTTTATTTTGCATTGGTTATATAATGCAGCTCGCAAATTTCTTTTAAAATTAAAGGTAAGACATTGGATATGTTTGCCCTTTGGCTGAACCCTTTTACTCAGCCTATGTGATAAAAATGAACAGATGATAAATTTTAGAAAAATAGTATGAAAGGATATAATTAGAAATTAACTAAACATTTTATTGAACACAGTTCGATAGTAGATAGTTTGATACATGTTATGTGTTGTCATGTAGTTCCTTAAGTTCGAATTGTGCACCGTCCTACTCTATATTAGAAAAAATATTTAAAAATTCTTTTTCCTATATCATGTCATATAATATTATGTATAAATATATATTTTCGGTTGATAGAATAGTGTTAATAATTTCAAGAAGATTATTGACTGTCGTGTGTTGAGACATCATATAATTGTGCAAGCTGCGAAAATTTCCTTTGAAGAACTCGCTTGTTAATGAAATAAGAGACTCGAACAATGTAGAAAATATCAAGCAGCGAAAACAGCTGCGTGCCCCGAGCGGCTATTTCTCCCAGAAAGTCTCTCTGTTGATAACTATGCCGCAAGAAATGAAATAAGTTGGAAATTTTCAAAGTACTCAACAGCCAAGAAAGCGGGCACAGATATATATATATATATATATATATATATATATATAAGAGCATAAAACGTTTTGCACTGAACACGAGCATAATATTCTCGGCGGAATAATGATTTCAATGCATTTCGGTACATGAATTGAACTACATATTTAGAAAATATTTATCGTAAGCGCATCATCTTCTAATTTCTCCAATAAAAAGCAAACAAATAATACTCACTTATGCACTGATTTCCTGCCTCGCTTAATCTAATATTTGGCCAATTTTAAAATGATGAGTGATGTTGTAGCAAGATGCAACCTGAAAATACATAAAATTATTGATTACAACTACAATTCAATTGAAGGTCATCATAAATATATATATATATATATATGATCAATTACTTAAGTCTATATTAATATAGATTAACAGTAAACAATAATTGGAAACTATTGATTTAATAATGGAAACATCGACATTTCCAAGAATATGAATACTAAGCAATTCTGATTCTGAATAAAATACTACTAAACTAGTAGTGCATGAAGCCACAATGGCTTAAAACTTGGAACTTCCCGTACTTATTTGAATTCTTACTTCCCGTGAATATTTGAAATATTTTTCCAAATTTTATTTAACATTTTTGATCATATTGATTTTTTTTTGAGTAGCTGTTTTAGAGAAATACCAAAGCGCGTAAGTGCTTCTTAAAATGGTTAAAACATTATAAATCTAGGTACGAAACCTATAAAAATGTAAACTAAATCGGTATATGTTATTAAAATCTCTATAAAATATGTGATAATTTGATGTCTAATGATCATTTTTGACCGCTTATTAGATTTTTTTTAACGTTTTTCATTGAATTTCGAAAACTACTGGACCTGCCTCACCAAAAATTTAACTAATTTATCATTCCGATGTTCGATCAAGTTCGATCTCTCCGTTCTCTCAAAAACTGAATTCCCTGGCAAAGGCTGGACCTGCCTTTGCCAAAATGTAATCAGCACATATCTTTGTTAATAGGAATCACACACACATATATCTATTTTGTTCTCAGGTATGCTAAAAAATATTGGAAGTTATGTAAAATTTTTATTTTCGATTTTTTGTGATTACAATAAGTTACCCTACCGAAAGTTAAATACATAACATTCAATTATTACGTTAAAAGTACACAAACTTATGTACAAGGTAAAAATCAAATTATTAGGAAAATTGGGTCTGAGCTATCTCATGGACAAAGCATTATTAACAATATTTCTGAAACACGCAATGTCTAAATAAAGGTAAACTTATTTTAACTGAGTATTGTACCGAGCAATGAAAAAATAGCACTAATTGACCGATTGCAATCTTTTCAGGTAATTAGTTATTACTCAAATTATCAGATACCATCTGATAAATCTTTTTTTTTTATCAATTCCAAGAGAAAGTTTTACATTTATGACCATCATTATTAATGGATACTTTGGATGATATTTAAAGTTTTCATTAGAAAAAAACCTTATAGAAATGTATCTTGCAAAAGAACACAAATTTATATGCAAACCATCTAGTGAGCAAATAGCGCTTGATTTAGAACAAGATTTATGAAAGATGACAAGGATAAAAATTCTCCATGCGTCGCGACTGTCGCTTCAATTTCTAAAAAGCCGTATTCATATGAAAGATAATATTTAAGTGAATTACGGCAACACGCTAGAGAACCAGTCATAAAACTCGACTTTGCTATTTTCAATTCTATTTTAATAAAACGGTTGTGATTTAAAACTTTCAAGTGTAACTCCACTTTAATGAGAAAATTTTTCATTTTAGTTTACAACTATCTGATATTCGTATATTGAGACAATTGTTGATATTATTAAATCTAAAAGATATAGTCAAATTTAACATTATTATTCCTTCAAGGTACATCATATGCTATATAAAAAATAATACTAGTGGTTCATGGCATTGTGCCTTAAGGCAAATTGCTGAAACTTAATTCAGTAATTGTTTTGTTATTTGAACAGATTGATATTTAGGGCACCTAGAAGATTATCCTCTCTAGTTGTCATTGTCACTTTTTAACATACATCAATAGTATTCTTAGACTTTTTCACTTGACATTTTTAGATCTATAATCTTGAACTAAAACTAAAATCTGATATCATCACTGCTTGAGTATGAGTATCCGACTATATCAACAAGAATCAGAAGATTCTTGGTGATAGTATGGATTATTATACACGCATCAGGACGTTCATGAGGAGGGTATTAAAACAAAACAGAAAATATATAAACACACTTATAACAACTGTATGATGATATCGCTGAATAATTTCCTGAAAAGATTTTATTTATGCCGAGCATAGCACTCGAAAAATTAAGGTTTTTTTTTAACGTCCCGAAGGAGAAGTTTGTTTCTTGCCAAAAAATCCGATTTGCTAAATGTTGCTTTCTGTCGACGCGTCAAAGCATTCTGAATCAAACAATCGAATCCACGTGTTAGGCCACAATTTTGAATCGATTTCAAAAACTGTTCGAAAGATATTGGTTGGGAATCGCGTTGATAAGTTTTTAGTAAAGATCGGCCGGGTCGTTTTTTGGTAACTAGTGTTGATTTTTTTTTGATGATTTGTATAATGATAGATTTCGTAGCCTGAAATATCATACTAAAATATTATAGGATTGGAATAAGCGGTTGAATTATAAAAATTCATCAAAGTTTAGAATATCGCCGTGTGCTTGAACGATTCTAATCAGAATCTATGCCGAAGCATAAGTATTCGTGTTTCGTAGATATCTACTACAGTTGACGTCAAGATTTAAATAAAATACATTTTTAAAACCCAAAATAGATAAAATGGAATGTGTTAAACAAATTAATTTAATTAGAGATATTATAAATAACTTTCGAAAATATCAATTGAAAATCGTTTTGTTCGAAACCTCTATTTTTGGAATAAACAGTTAAATATTTTATCTAAATAGCTAATTCAAGCTAAATAGCTAATAATCGACTCCATCAATAATAATCAGCAGATTCTTGTTGACAACGTCGATTATTTACACGCATCGGGAAGTTCATGCAATTTGCCTTGAAGCAAAATTCTACTTACAACTTACAACTAGTTTAATTTTAGATCTTTGAGAAATATGTAATCAAAAAAGTATGTGCTTGTAAACGTAAATTTTGTCACTCGTCGAAAGCAATTTTGATGGATCTTAATTATTTCGAGCTCATAGTTGAGTACTATTTAGAGCATTACCCATAATAATCACTGGTTTTTAAAGAGAACTTTTGCCCATATGAAGCTTTCTTCTTAAATATACATATGTATGTCTCTCATTCCTCAGCATATAAAAATTAGGTCGTAGTCGAACACGTACAGTGTTCAAATAATCAATTTGCCGATGCGAACGCGACTTAATACAAATTTATGCCTTTATGTGTACACTGTACGCAATAAAAACGGTCCGCCAATTAAGCGCAATCAGAGCATAGTGCGCGGGCGGACGGCCACTTCCGACGTTTCGATGCGCTTCAACACGTTGCCGCAGCAACTGTTACGTGATAATTGAAGTTCAATGTCGAAAATCAGCACACGCACATCCTGACGATTAAGAACAGTGCCGAGACGGGCAAACCGAAAGCAGGAACACTATCGCAGAAAGTGTTCAACAATTCATATTGTTGGCTTGTGGAAAAGCACAATCAAAAAAACCATACTTGATACATAAACGTTCTCATCATGGACCTCTGTAACATCATATAAACCTATGGGTCATTTAACTATTACTATACTATACTTGACGGATAAGTAAAGTGATGTCACCAACTTAGCTTTCGGCGACTGCACTCTATCAACCAGCAGTGCCAGAGGGTAACAACAATCATCCATCAAGTCATCGAAGACGAGCAATACCGTTCGGCAGTGTTCCTGAACGTATAACAGGCTTTTGACAAATCCTGCCATGAAGGACTATTAGCCAAAATTAAATTATGTTTACCAATAAAAATGTGTTTAATATTAAAATCTTACTTAACAAATAAGAATTTTAGGATCAGAGAGGCTGTGTTATAAATCCACCCGATAAAAGCAGGAGTTCCGCAGGGAAGCGTGCTAGGACCAAGTCTGTTTACAATATATAAGCACGTGACACTAAATTCGAACACCACTTAACCACCCTCAGTGCAATTGCCGATGACACCATGATCATGTCTACCCACGAGAATCTGGAAATTGCCTTGTCAAATTTACAGGACCAACTATTTTTTTATTCAAATATATACTGCAATCTGTATATATTTTAACATTAAGCACCAAATGCTGACAAATATATGAGAAAGTTGAATACAAATTATTAGGAACACCCACTGGTCTACTAGAGCTACAGGACCATATATTGGAACTAAAAACATGAATAATAAAGTGAACAAGATAAATAGAAAATAAAAATAAACACAGATAAAACTAGTGGAGTGCATGGCATAGTGCCCTAAGGCAAATTGCTAGAACTTTCCATACCGTAATTAAAAATATTGATAAATTTACACAAAATTTGTACACATTATTAAAATCTTTGTAAAATATCTGATAATTTGATGTACATATGTCCATTTTTGACCACCAAATGACATTTTTTTAACTTATTTTTATTGAAAGCCCATAACCGCTGGACCTGCCTGCCCAAAAATTTAATCAGTTCTTCATCTTGTCAATACAAGTAAAATGTTTTTAGAATTATTAAAATAAGACGCGCCGTTCTCTTAAAAACTGAGTTACCGTTTCGGCACTTTCTGCCCCGTATCTTCGGAACGACTAGATCTACCAAAATCTAATCAGCACGTCTCCTTATCAATACGAATCGAATGTTTTTTTAATTATTCAAATCGGTTGATCGGTGTTCCCAAAATCGTCGACGAAAATTTGTATCCGCACGCACACATACACACACACACACAAATACATCCATTTTTTCTAAGGTTCAAAAACCTTTGAAACATATAGATGTATAAAAATTTTCATTTTCGATTATGTATTTTGCGATTACTATAACTTACCCTACGGGAAGTTAACAAGGCACGTCGCATTCACCACTGTATTAACACTTCTGTATTAATCAACATTATAGAAATAACAACCTGCTCGAATGTTAAATGCATCTGGACCGTTTACTAACGTAGAATATACATATTCAACAAAAAAGAAAACAAATGATGCAACAATTCAGGCAGCTCTACTGGCTGATAGGAAGAAAATCTTAAATGTCATACAACAATAAATTGCTGATCTATATTTAGCTTTAGTTCTTCAGTATCACAGTATTAA